GGGGGGGGGGGGGGGGGGGGGGGGGGGGGGGGGGGGGGGGGGGGGGGGGGGGGGGGGGGGGGGGGGGGGGGGGGGGGGGGGGGGGGGGGGGGGGGGGCGAGGGCATAGAGAGAGAGGGAGAGAGTCAGAGACAGAGACAGAGAGAGAGGTCCACAGTGGTGTGAGGAGGAGGTCAAAACCGCCCAAATTGAGGTCACCAACACGGGAGTGCGCCCCTCTCCCCCGCCACGAGAAAAGCAAGCGTAAGAGATGCATCCCTTACCCCCTTGCCCTCACCCCACCCCTCCTCAACATACAACTAAAGATTGCACCCATGCACATCGCGTTTCATTTTTCCAACAACAACAACAACAATCCGTCACCTCGCCCACCTGGTCCGGTGAAACCCGGCGTGCTCCGTCCCGACCTTGTACTTATAGTGATGCGAGGTCAACGGTCAAACGGCTACGGCATGCACGGCTACGAGTGCACACACACGCACACATACACCCCCGCACCTGCTCGTTGAACTCCTCCTGGCTCTTGAACTTGAGCGTGTTCGGGAACTGGTAAAAGAACTCGTTGGAGGCGTGCTCCGCGATCACCACGAACTTGCCCATCGCCAGCGCCTCCGCCACCGTCGTGCACAGCACCTCGCTCTCGCTAGGGTTGACGAAGGTCTTGTACTGGGACAGCTCCGCGTGGTCGGTGGCCGGGTTGAACTCCACCGAGAGGCCCATGACCCTTGCCCTCTCTCGGATCGGGTCGCTGTCGGGACCGGAGCCGTACGCGCTGAGAATGATACCACCGCCATCGCCGCCTGCATCTACCTTGTCGCCAGCTGGGGTCGCGTGAGCCTGGTGGTCCCCGGCAGCAGCCGCCTTCTTTTCGGCTACGGCCGCGGGAGATGATGCTTCTCTTCCCTCCTCGCCGCCGTGCTGGTTTTGAGCGGCTTGGTAGCCCTCCAGCAGGTCCCAGAGCTTGCCGTACCCCTTCTCCCACAGCATCTTTCCGAGGAAATATGGCCTTGTAGTAGAAAAAGCGGTTTCGTTGGCGGTGGGCGCGACATCGACGGCGCGAAATCAAGTACAAAAAACGATGGGTAGGGGGGGTTACGATTTCACGGGAAGACCAAGGGCAGCAATAAATATCCGTGCTTTGCAAGCACACTACCCGCGACATTAGCGCCCTTGGCGGTCTCATGAGCGGCCCACAGTCAACTCGGTGGTTTTCCACCCAACACACACACGCGCGCGCAAACATCAATAATTCGTGGGGAGCCGAACCCGGCCACGACAGCACACAACCATTCCCTCACCATCTAGTTTCGACAGTGTAGAAAGCCTGACCCCAGCAAAGACGCGAGTATGAGAAACGCGTACCTATTACCGGCGGCGAACGGCTCCCCTCGAGCCGCCGCCTTCGCCCGGTCGTCCCCGACGAGGAGAAAGTTCTCGCGGACCCCGTGCACGTTGGTAACCGTCTCCTTCTCCTCCGCGAACTTCTGGAGGGTCGCAGAGAGCTTGATCACCTGACGAAGAAAGAAAAACAAGAGAAACGTGTTTCATGAGAGATGGATTCGTCACCGAGATCTTGATGGCCTAGCCAGAAATGATTGGTACGAGATGGATTGGATGCCCGGAGCGTGGATCTCCTCACGACATAAAAAAAAAGGTAATGTGGAAAAAATGCCCCAAGGAAATAAGGGTAACCAAGCAGGTAATGCCACGGGGGGCCGAGTAGGAGTGCGGCCAAATTCGTTTCGCTTGTTGACAACAACAACAACAGACAAGCAACAAACCTTGTCGCAGTAGGCGCGAGCCATGATCTTGTTGAAGGCGCGGGCGAAGGGCGCTTTCACCCTGCCGGAGGCCCAGTGGTTCGTATCCGCCAGGGTGTAGTGGACGTAGTTCGTGTGGATCACGCCCACCACGTGGGTGAACTTCTTGCTCCAGTTGACGCCTGTGGCCCTGAACCAGTTGAGGTGCTCGGGTTCCTCCATGATGCACACGTCCGCCTCGTCGTCGGGGATGAGGCGGGGAATGTCTCCCATGGGGAAGATGCACCCGGCCACCTGCAGGGGGGGGGGGGGGGGGGGGGGGGGGGGGGGGGGGGGGGGGGGGGGGGGGGGGGGGGGGGGGGGGGGGGGGGGGGGGGTCGCGCGGTTTGTTAAAGGTTCGTCGTTGGTGGTGGTGGTGGCTGTTATTGGTTGTCGAGACTGTTGGTGGTGCGATGTGTTGTTCTTGTTGTTCTTGTTGATGATCATGATGATCATGATGATCATCATCATGTATTGTAGTCTGTACAGCAAAATGTTGCTCCGACAACTAATGTGTAGCAAAGTATTCCTCGTTGTCACTGGACCGGGTCGTTCCTAGCAAGCCACAAGCCCAAGCAGAACAAAAAACTAACAACCCGAGGTACGGCACAAGCGACCTCATTGGGAACACGAAAAAGCGTGCAAACCGATTTGGGACTCCGCGTGTGTACACTTCTTTGTCGCAGCACCAAACTTCGTCAGACATGTGGTCGCCACAACGCTTGGCATTCCGTCGCAACACATGCCGTCCCAACGTGTAGCCCAAAAAAAAAAGGCCTCCATGTTGAACCATAGGCTCTGGGTTGTTGTCAAGAAGAGATTACTTAATGTACACGTTTTTCTTTTCCACAGGACGGAAGACCTCGAAAGTGCAGCAAAGCCGCCCGTAGCAGTAGCGGGGCATATGTGTATGTGACAGGCGTCAGCTTTCACCAAGTGCTGTACACCCGTTGGTGCCTGGGCGAGCGATACAGCCGCTCAATCGCTCCGCTTGTGGGCTGCAGACGACGATGCTGCATGCGTGAGCCTCGTGGGCTACCTCTACATGACTCTTCCTCTAAGGATGCATCGCATCATGCACATGCAACAAAACACGCCAGACCCGCTCACGCACCTGGTGATATCTGGCGTCATACCAAGTGATCCGAAGGTCGTCGGCCTCGCTCGTCATCCCCGCACCCTTCAGCCAGCCCCTGATGAACGCCTCCTGGTCCTCCTTCCTCTCGTACCTGTGCCCGTCGGGGAGAACGAAGTGCTGGTCTTCGGGACCCAGCCACGGAATCATCAGACTCACCTGGCGTTGCCACGAAATCACATCGGCACATTTGCGTACAATATTAGTAGCACACGGATCTGGTACAAGCATCATTTGGGGGTACGTGCCTGTCGTCTTGTCCACTCCCTTGACTGCAACTAAACAATAAAACCGATCAGAATAATCGACCAACACGAAACACCCAAAGGGTGACGCTGCCGCTTTCCCGAGTTCACGCCCACAGCGCAGCCTCCAACGCATCAGCAGCAGCAGTGACGCACTATTATACTGTCTATCAGCACCACTAGTACACCCTACTGCTGTCTAGCGACACCCTACTGCTGTCCACTTCGACTTGTTACATGTATCCCCGTGCTCTTGTCGCTCTGCTTCTCACCTTGCCCGGGTCGCGCCCCCTGGTAAGGTAGGCCGCCCTCAAGAGCGGGTTGACGGAGGTGCCCGTCATCCAGGGCAACGCCGCCGTGGTGACCACCCAGATTCGCCTCTCCGGGATGCCGATGTCCGTTCCCGGCAGGACCTGGCTCACGGATGTTGTTGTAGGTTGGTGTTGGTGTTTGTGGTGGTATTGTTGTTGTTGTCATTGTCGCCGTCTTCACAATTAAAACCGTTCCGGTCTCCGCTCAGTACCTCCTTTCTCAATACCCATGGGCCAACTGACGCGGACTCCTTCCTTTCGGGGTCACAGGCCAACGACTATGGTACTACCCAAAACAGGGGGTACAACTACACATTTTCAGATATCGGGGGGTGCGATCGATTTTCAATGATTCCGGTGAGCTCGACCATTGGCCAAAACAAAGTTCAACAAGGGACATAACGGCACAAAACACGCGCGCCAGCCTGCGGGGTCCTATGAATGGGTGAGGGGGGGGGGGG